TTGTGTCTTTCACACCTCTAAAACAATGTGCTACATGAACCTTCATTTTCCAGCATAGTTTGCATAAAGGCTTTCAGTCTTGAATATGTTTTGTATAGTGACTGCTTTAGTGCTTTGATCATACTTTTAAAAATTTCTTTATATTTCAGTAGTCTAGTTATGATTCTCTAGAAATAGAGTAGTTTGTTTTTCATGTGTATATCACATTTCGGCATGCCAGTTCATTAGTAATCTGATTTTCTTCATTTCCCTTTAAAAAAAGGAATCTGCATGGGATCCCTGAAGCATGTGAATCAGTACTTGCCAACATTCATGCCAAAGAATGCCAAACTTCTCTTTATTTCAGACCTAAATAATTTAAAACAATATCTGGGATTGAAAGCACTGTATAACATAGCTTCATTTTATTAATTTCTTGTTTTGGTTTGGTTTGGGTTTACCTTATGTTTGAATCTTTAGTTTCATCTCCCAGAACTTTGCTTTCTCTGGCATCTGACTTTGCTGGTTGAAATGTATTTACAGGAAAAATAATACTGAAGTTTTTAGAAAACGTTTAGCCAGTTAATGGCCTGAGATGAGAATGACAAAGAACTCGCAATAAAGCTAACATCCCCACTGTACCTGGAATATAGCTGCTTCAGTTCTTGCATTTTTATGTGTTTATGACATATAAGTCATAGAACTAAAGCAAAAACGTCCTTTTAATATTACATGCTGCTACAAAAACAAAGAAACAAAAAACCACAAAACAGCAAGTTTATGTGTGTTTTCCTTGGTAACTCTTTGCTCATTTGATTTGAGATGTTGGCAACTAGTTAATGTGATCCAGTGAGAAATACATTTATTTGGAAAGCAAAGTGCAAGTCCTTTTTTGTATGTTCTCATCAGGCCCAAGCACAACATGCCAAGAGGATTCATGTGCAAACCAGGGAGTGTGCTTGCAGCAGTGGGATGGATTCAGCTGTGATTGTAGCATGACCTCCTTTAGCGGACCATTATGCAATGACCGTAAGTACACTAAAATGTGCTGATCTGAAAGCTCTAGAGCTCTAAGGCAATATTTGAAGCAAGTGTCTTTAGCTTTATAATACTTTAATATATGATGTTTAAATGGACTGGCAAACCTTGTGAAAATCTGTAAGGCTTGTGTGAAGAACATAGCTAAAATATACAGTTTAAAATTTGGGCAATGTTCTGTATGGAACACTGACAGAATTTGGTTTTATTATACTTGATTGTATGTCTAATATACTGATGGTTACGTGATTGAAATAAGCCCTTTCTTGCATAAACTTTACAAATATATTTTCTTTTCTGACTGGAAAAAAAAAAAAACAACAAAAAAAAACCTTTTTATTATCTTAAGCTATATTGCAATTTTCTTGCATTATATCATGAGGGCTGTAATTACTGTGAAACAGTTGACAAGGCTTATTATCTCCCTTTGTTGATTTCTTTAGGTGACACACTAAGCATTCCAATAATAAAAGCATGCTGAGTATTTTAGTTTTTTTAAATTTCATCTCAATAAAACTACATAATGTACACCAACCATCTGGTCTTTCAGGAAAATCTTAAATGTGTCATAAATAAGGTCCTGATTCACCAATGTCATAATCTAGTTTTATTCCAATCTAGTTTTACTGATCAAAATAGAATTATGCAGAGCTGAAAGTGGAGCAATAATGCAAGAGCCATGATGGTCCATGGTAACTAAAGAAAACTAACGATTTTTCTTTTTAATGCAGGTCATTTGAAATATCCTTATGCTACATGTATTTGTATCCATATGAAAAGGGAATTTCTTTAAGTGTAGGCATTTTTATTTGTATACATGTCTCCAAATGAATGTCTGATGATAGGAAGTGTTTGTATAACTATCTATTCAAGCAGTTTGCATTTCTGTGTCTTGTTCTGATTCTCCAGTCTCCAGCAAGGTGCATCTTTGTGGTCAAACTCTTAAATAAGAAAATAGCTAACATCTCATGAGATTTTGGCTCAAATTATATCCAATAAAAGGCTAACAAATTAGTTACATGCAAAAGCTGAAAAAAAAAAAATGATTCTCATGCAAGTTCCACTTTTCTATTCTTGATCACCTTTTAAAAACTACAGGAAAAACATGTCACTCTGTTTCTTTATAATTGAAAATCTATATTTAAAATTGTTAAAATCTATATTTATAATTGATAATCTGTTTCTTTATAAATGAAAAAAACTTTAGAAAATTTGACCAAAGTTTTGTGTTTATTGGGTTTGCACTTCCAATAATATAATTAGTTATACTTCTAAGCATGTATTTATAAAGATTTTAGTGTCCTATCTAATACAGTAGAAAAATTGTGCTTCTATTTTTTAAACATCATTATTTCTGTTCTTTTGTGACCTCTGATTTCTTTCAAAAGTAACTAAAAGCTATGAATAAGAAATTGTATATTTCACATCTAGCAATGCAAAAACTCTGTTTATAAGTTTGTGTTAATATTAACTGATGTCTGAACCCTGGAATATTCTGTAATTATTTTTTTTTTCAAGAAATTTAAGAACTTACATAAGAAAGATAAATATTCACCTATCAGTGAAGGCTCATTCATACAGTAATGTGGATGACACTGTACACTATCAATAACTTTCAGTATACTATTTTTGATGCTGGTAGTGCTGGTAGAGGAGTATCTTTAGCACATGACTGAAAAAAAAAAAAAAAGGTTACTTTTTTTTTTCCCTCAAAGTAATTTTGTAATGTTCTGTCACAAACATGAAATATAAATTTATCCTAGATATGGATGCTTTGTGCATCCTAGATCCATTATCCTAGATATGGATGCAGGGTCTGGTAATTATAATTCATCTATCTTCTGCTTTATCTTGACTCCTTAGATTAGTTTACATTCCAACACTCTACCAAGCAAATCTAATGAGAGATTTTTTTTTTTTTTTTTGTAATTATATATATATGTATATATATATACAGGGAGGAAAATGAAGAAAAAATATGTTTTTATAATCTCAATGTCATATGTATGTTCCTAGACTGCTCTCTGCTTTGTTTGGGAAGAGTACAATGGAAAGAGCAATGATGAAGTGTTACTACAGTTTTTAGTAAATTGCATAGGCTACAAAACACAGGCTAAAGTTTTACAGCACTGAAATAAGCCCAATTCCTTTTGCGTCCAGTGAGGTGTTTTCAGTGACAGGTCTGGAGTAGTAGTACCTGCTTGCTGCTGAAAAACACAGCCCCTTGTGAACAATTAAAGGATGTTCCTCAGCAGTGACACAATTCCATTGCCAGTCATGCATGGAGCAACGTTAATTGACAGACACTGAAACCTAACCCAGTATTGTTACAGCAATACAGTATTCTTACATAGACAGACTGCCTTTACATTTGAATGTACCAATTTATATTTTTAAGCTTATGTAAAATGGACTATTAGTGACATCAAAATATTATAGGTGTTGATTTTGTTTTAACAGAAGCAAAAATTGACCATTTAAAAATAAGTGTCACATATCATAAAAGAAATAGTTAAAATGTAACTGACTTATGGAGAATTGCATCCTCCTGTATCGAGTGTCCATGTCTGGATGCTGGCAGCAGGTGACTCTATCAGGAAAATTTGGGGCTGCCCCATGCCAGACATGGCTGGTTCCAGCCACTTCCAACAGACTCACCACAAGGCACAGCCCAGCACCTCAGCCACACTATGGCACCTCTTGGAAAACATAGATAGAATGGGCAAAAACACTAGACAGGAGGAGAGAATGAAAAGAGAAACAGCAGAGGCAACACCACCATCAGAGCAGGGGGAATGAGCAAGCATTTGGGTAGGAGTTTGGTCTTCATCCAGTGTTAATCCACCATTCCTCCCCACTATTTTGTTCCACCAGTTCTTAGTGAATGTATTAGAGTAGAAATTTCAGTGACAAAATGGCTGAAAGAAAAGGGAACCTGTGGAGATAGTATAGTTTAGCCCTTCTGCACAGAGCAGGGTCCGCTGGAGCAGGGTGTTTAGGATTGTGTCCATCTGGGTTTTTAGTATCTCTGAGGATGCATCTTCACAACCTCTCTGGACAACCTGTGCCAGTGCTCAGGCACCCACACAGTAGAAAATTGTTGCTTATATATAAAATGAGATTTCATGTACTTCAGTTTGTGACCTTTGCCTCTTGTCCTGTCACTTTCACCATCAAAGAGAACAGCCTGGCTCTGTCTTCTTTACTACCACCCATCAGGTATCTATAAATCACAGAATCATAGAATATCCTGAGGTGGAAGGGACCCACAAGGATCATTGAGTCCAACTCCTGGCTTCACACAGGGCTATGTAAAAATTAAAACATATGTCTGAGAACACTGTCCGAACACTTCCTGAACTCTGGCAGGCTTGTTGCCCTGGGGAACCTGTTCTGACCAACCTCTTGGTGAAGAACCTTTTCCTAATATCCAGTATGAACCTCTCTTGACACAGCTTCATGCCATTCCTTCAGGTCCTATCACTGTCACTAGAGAGAAGAGGATCAGCACCTGCCCCTCCACTCTCCTCATGTGGAAGCTATAGATCATCATGAGGTCTCCTCTCAGCCTCCTCTTCTCTGATATCAACAAAGCAAGTTGATACCTCAGCTGTTCTTCATACATCTTCCCCTCCGAACCTTTCACAATTTATTTTTTTTCCCTCCTTTGGACACTCTGTATTGTGGTGTGGTGCCCAGAACTGGACACAGTACTCAAGGTGAGGCTGCACCAGCACAAAGCAGAATGGGACAATCCCTTCCTTCCCTCTACCAGCTAGCAATGCTATGCTTGATGCACCCCAAGGTATGGTTGGCCCTTTTGTCTGCCAGGGCACATTCAACTGGCTCACATTCAACTTGCTGTCAACCAGAACCACCACCCTTTCCATGGGGTTGCTTTTCAGCCTCTCATCCCCCGCTCTGTAGATATAGTCAGGATTGCCCTGCCCAAGGTGCAGAATTGGTTACTTGTTCTTGTTAAATTTCACATGGTTGGTGAACGCCCAGCCCTCTATTTTGTAAAGATTTCTGTGCAAGGCCTCTCTACCCATGAGGGAGTCAACAGTGCCTCTTAACTTAGTATCATCTGCAAAATTGCTTAGTATTCATTCAAGGCCTGCATCCAGATCATCTGTAAAAACATTAAAGAGAACTGTCCCTAAAATGGAGTCCTGAGGTACCCCACTAGTGACTGGACACAAGCCTGATGTAACTCCATTTATTATAACTATTTGGGCTTTACCGATCAGCTGATTGATCACCCATCCTATTATTGATCACGCATCCTATTATCTAACTGTATGCTGGACATTTTGTCCAAAAGGATACTGTGAGAAACAGTATTGAAAACTGCTGAGATCCAAAAAGATTACATCAGCAGGCTTCTCTTGGTCAGCTAGACATGAAGGGAAATTTAGTTAAACAGTACTTTTCCTTCATGAACCCATGGTTCTCTGTGAATTATGACTGAACTGTCTTCCAAGTGTTTTTCAATAACTCCCAGAATAATCTTCTCCATAAATTTGCCAGGCACTGAAGAGAGACCGATAGTCCTGTAATTACCAGAGTCTTCTTTCTTGCCCTTCTTGAAAACTGGGACAACATTTATGATCATCCAGTCACCTGGGACCTCTTCATATTCCCAAGACTGTTGAAAAATAATTGAGAGAGGTCTCACAATGACATCAACCATCCCAGCACCCTGGGATGAATCCTCCATAGACTTATGTGCAATCCACTAACCTGTGTGCATCCAGGTTGCACAACAATTCATGTACAACCTCACAGTTAGCTGGGAGGTCATTGTTTCTACAATTACCTTCCTGCTACTCAGGGCTGTGATGCTCCCAGGGCACATCATTGGTGTTAAACACTGGTAAGGAAGGCATCAAATGTCTCTGCTTTGTCTATTTATGAGGTGACCATCCTCATCAAGTAACAGACCCATGTTGTCGCCATGTTATCTCTGTTGCCTTGTCCACATTGCCTATCCCTCCTGAAAACATTCTTCCTCATCCATCACAGGAGGCTGTTGGCCTTCTTTGCTGCAAGGGAATCTTGCTGACTCATGTTCAACTTGGTATCCACTAGAACACACAGATCCTTTCCTGCAAGGACTTGGCATTTCTAGTTGTTTCATGTGTTTCCCGTTAGCTCACCTCTCCAGCCTGTTGGTGTCCCTCTGAACGGAAGCACATGCACCTGGTCTATCAGCCACTCCTCCCAGTTTTTCATTGTCTTCAATTTGCATAAACATGCTTAAATTTACTTCCTGAGGTAAGCTGAGACTTTCAGCATGTTTCTGAGAGTAACTGCAGTGCACACAGGTTTGACAAGCATATCGTTCCTGGGCTGTCACAACGTAAGTGTTTCATATGTATCATTCTCATCTTTCTTTTTGAAGTTTGGAGGAAATAATAAAATAAATAATTACTTGAAAATTGTTATAATATATTTTATTGCTATAGAGTGTAAGAAGTACCTTTAATCTTGTCTACAAGAGCAAATTATTATTCCGCTACTGCTCACTATGTTATTCTAAGTGAAAATGTGCCAAGCTTAAAATCAAGACTTAAAAGTTCACTCAAAATATGCTGTATGTGAACTAGGTTGTTTATTTATATTTTTTTTCCAATCCAAGAGTGTTGTCTGTGTGTCAGCTAGAGAGGAGACATTCATGGCATTTACTCCTACAGAAAATGACCTGGGCTAGCAAGGGTAAGATTATAGCTTTACAGCTGTATTTGGGAACGCACACAGTTTAATCCAGAAAAGTTTCTATTGGTTTTAAATCTCAGTACTTCACTACAGTGAATGCAGAGTGCCTGTAGAGTGTAAGCCTTTATGGTGATGCAGGTAGAAACATTCTGTGTGATGTCATTTCTGAAATACTGAAAGAGAAACAAGGCAGGGTAAGTCTTGATCCCAAGATGTCATGTTGATTATCATTTTTTGTTTTGATTTGACATGACAGTTAGAGTTTTGGAGCAACAGTGTTCTTTAGATGTGATAGACAGAAGTGTTGTAAGTGCAAAGGAGGCCAGTAGCAGATCTTACAAGGTAGCATTATGTAGAAAACTGTACTAAAAGGAAAATTAATGACTGTTCTTACAAATGGATGGCTGCATGCAACTCCTCTGAGAAAGTGCATCATAAATGTTGTAAATATTTTTAATAGCAGGTTATTAGACGAGAGCTGTCCTCCCAGAGTATTCAGCTTTTTCATAAAAGTGGGGTGGAATATGATTCAGGCAAAACAAAACCTATAAGAGATTGTCTGCTGTCTCCAAGTTTACATGTGTGTTTTACTCACACAGTCTTTACGTATAACCATATTAGTGAACGTAATGCCACGTTTGTGGAAACAAATACTGCTATTATGGCATGGAAAATAGCAGACATAATAACATTGTCACATTACATTACTATAGAAATGTTCTGTGCCAAATTACAGGGCAATGTCAACACTGTCTGTTACCATAAGGGAATAATGTATTGGTGTTGTATTTGTGATGGTATAGCTAACACTGTGTCAACACTTCCATTAAAATCTATTTCTGAAGAGTTAGAACTTCACCATGAAGTCTCTTCTGACTAGGAATTTGACATTTTCAACCGCTGTGAGTAATGAAACTTAAAATAAAAATAAAATAAAATAAAAAAATCCTATTTTATTTTGACTTCTCTTTTACCAGGAAAAATCAAAAGCCCTCATTTAAATGGTAAGCTGTGTTGAAATTACAAGTTCATATAAAGCTTTTTTTTATATATATTTTGATTGCATTATAGAGATGCTGCTTTTCAGCTAAAGATATATCTGTAACAATGGTTAGATTTTATTACAAACATGTGGGAAAGGAATTTGAAGAAGACTTACTACAAAAAGATGAAATCTATTTGCTGAAGTTGTACAAAAGCATATTTGTGAAGAGGCTGGCCAACCTGATAATAAGAGAACCAGAACGGTGAATAGTGTAAAATGGAGAAGACAACCCACAATAGTGAGGAAGTAGTAGAGTGGGTTGACAAGCAAAAGGTTGCAGGTTGATAAGGACAAGAAGGACCTGAAAATCAACATGCCAGGGTTGAAAGCAGTCCACCCCAAGTGCATGACATGCACACAAAAAAAGAAATGTCAAGAGGACAGCATGATTGGGGGAAACTTAAACATTTTTTTTCTGGGAAATGAGTGGGTGATGCTCTAATATGCCTGTACTGTCATGTACACAGCATGAGTAAAAGGAGTTGGGTATCTTTGTGCAGGAATGGAGCTCTGCCCAGGGACAAGTGGAAAGCTAGCTGAGGTCTTAAGGGTTAGGGTTAGAGGGCAGACCAAAGCTGGAGATGTAGTGGTGGGTATCTGCTACATATGTAGAAGGAGAAATAGATGAGGCCTTGTTCAGACAAGTTTGAGAAGCCTCATGCTCACAGATCTGATACTCCATAGGTTCCATAAGAACTGGTTGTTCTTCAGGGATCTTCACTTCCTCCAGTCTCAGGAACAATTAACCCTGATGCACAGGAAATTAAGTAAATGTGGCAGAAGGCAGGAGGAGCTCCTGACAGTACTCAGATATTAAAAGGCAGTGTGCAAGAGGTACATGCAGGGCCAGGTGGCACAGGAAGAATATAGTAACACTGTCCATGCATGCAGGAATGTGTCTAGGAAAACCAAATTTTAGGAGAACCTGTCTGGCAAGAGGCCAACAGGAAAAGCTCCTGTCAGCAGTGAAGGAAAGAGCAGGAAAATGTAGGCGCACCACTGAATAAGGTGAAGGAACCTCATGGCAAGTGATATGTAAGAGACTGATACTCAGCACCTTCTTTGCCTTGGTCTTTACTGGTAAGACTGGCCTTTTAGCACTTTCAGCAGTCCCAGTTATCTGAGAACAGACATAGTCTGGAGCAAGACTTACCTGGATAGAGGAAGATCAGGTCAGGGAACATTTAAACCAAGTGGACATGCACAAGTATATGGCACCAGATGGGACACATCCTTGTGTGCCACTGGTCATTGTGAATTTGCTCTTGATTACCTTTGAAAGCTCATGGCTGCTGAGGGCTGTTCCAGAGAACTGGAGAAAAAGGAAATAGTTCCCCTGTCCTCAAGAAGGAGAAAGTTACAGACTGATCAGGCTAGCCTCACTCCCTAGAAATGTGATAGAGAATATCCATCTAGAAGCTGTTTCCAAACATATTAGGGGCAAGAAGGCAAGTAGGAGTAGTCAGTATGGACTTAAAAAGGATAAATCAGGTATGGTTGTATGACAGTGGATTCATTATTTAAATATTTGACATTTTCTTGCTTAGCAGACAATCTTTGTACTGATTTGAAAGCATGCTGAACATTCAAAATTGGGATTGAAGCAGGTATCTTTCAAGAAAATCAAATAGTAATTATCTCAGATTGAGCACACCAAACAGTAGATACTCTTGGCTTTTATTGAGGATAGACCAAGAACTTCCTTGTGTCACAGGACATTTAAAAAAACACATAGTTAAAAGTTTGAGAGATTTGGATATTAGAGTATTTGACATTATACAAATTCCAGAAGGGATTGAATAATTCTCTTTTCTGTGTAGTGTTTGGAGAGTGCATTAAGTAATATTGAGTTTATAATTTGAACTACAGAAAACAAACAAACAAAAAAAACCAACCACCTATTGGGTCAGCAATTCAACTTTTGCAATAAGTGAGCAGTTTTATAAACACCAGTCTTCCCTGCAGAACTCTGATCAGAACAGGTGAATTTTTGCACTGAATGAGGCAAGAGCCTTATACTATGTGAACATGCAATTAGCAATTATGTCCGTAGCCAAGGAGGGGTAATTAAATATTTTACACAGAAATGTACAGGTGGCTTTCCCTAGGTTTTTGGTACTTTATGCTTGAAATTTAACATCGTTTGTATATATATACTCACACACTGAAAAAGAATATTTATTATTTTCACTTAGCCATGCAGCTACCTTTTTACAGTCTTCTGATCATATGGTGTTGACATTGGATAGTCATTCTCCTCTCACAATGTCATTCTTCTTCTGAAATGCAAATCTTAGAGTGATAGTCACATAATCCCTTTTACATATCACTCTGGTGTTACCCAAATGATGTATTTAAATCCTTTTGCCACATCTATTTCTTTCACATTTATTAATTGATTTAGCTGTTCAGGATATTGCATCTTTTGGACCTTTTGACACCTAGATTGTAGGGTCATTCTTAATGCTACTTTTATGAGAAGGATATGAACAAAACTAAGAAATTTAATTAAACCAGTGACCAAAACCTAAACTAACTATATAAACCACTTCATAGTGCTTTCCAAAATAATAATTTTCTGGCTAAGTCTGCAGTTGCTAGCTAGCAATAAACATATAACCTGTTATTAAGAAAAGGGATGGGAAATTCCTCTGAGTACTTTACAACACATTTGATTTCCATTTCCAGGGGCTGAGAATTAAAAATCTGTCCCTCATAACATACCAGTCTAAATACTTCATATGATTATTTTGCCATGGAGGCTTACAGTACACAGGAGAAATAAAGATAGCTGCACACAAAATTACAGTGTAGGACAAGCTTCTGGAATGATCGGTTTGAAGAAATCTCAATTTGTTCAGTTTATCTTATCCAATCTCTCTCTATAATGAATATTTGGATTTTTTGGTGACAAACATCAGTGGCCTAATTTGTAAAAATGTCAAAGGAAGGAGGATTTCACACAAGCAGTCTTGAAAATGCAGAAATGTTGAGGTGTTTAGGAGAATTAGAAAAACTGTTATAAGAACAAGGAAGGCAAGAAGTGCTACCTGGGAACCATGGCTGTGGAACAAGATTTTTAATATATGTCCAGTCTATCAGTTATGTAAGTTAACAGGCATGCTTTTCTTGACAGTTTGAAAACAATCTTTAGAATTTTTCTTTATAAAAAAAAATAAAAAAATAAATCTGGACAAGTCAAATGACCTATCCATATCTAAAATAGTTAAGAAATTTCCAGGTTCCTTAAAATAATTTTTTTTTTAAAGGAGGAAAGAAAGAAAAAAAAAGATTGATAGTGATTGTTGAAACTCATATATGTGAAAATATTTCTAATGAACAGTAACAAGGAAAGCTTCAAGTGGGATAACACGACACAAAGGAAACCAAAATGAAACTCAAGGTAGCCAGAATAAATTTTTATAGCTGTGCTTGTAGCTCAGATAGAAGCAATTATGCAACACTTCTGGCCTACTCAGAGGTATTTTCTATTTCTCAATATTAAAAATGGAACATAGTGTCAGAAAATTGCAAACTTCTCTTTGCCTCTGGAGGAATCAAGGGAGTAATTAAATTGAATTTTGGTATGTCAATAA